TCTCTCTCTCTCTCTCTCTCTCTCTCTCTCTCTCTCTCTCTCTCTCTCTCTCTCTCTCTCTCTCTCTTTGTGTGTGTGTGTGTGTGTGTGTGTGTTGTCCGTGGGGGTATGAAGCCCATCTTCGCCTGGAGCATTTAGTTACATGGTGGACAGGCTTGAAGCAGTGAAAGAGCTGATTGCCTGCATGGGGCTTTTCATGCAACGAGCCCTGCATCTCACTTCGCACCGATGACACACTTCAGCACACCAAAGCTCACACGCGAGATTGAAGCCACAATGAGATATGAGAACGTTGGAAATTTTCCGGAAATCAGAGTCTTGTACAGCAAGTTGCTTGCATACAGTATGGCAGCGATTGGCCGCAAACAACAAGAGCTGAGAATGAACTGGCTCGCTCTCTTACTCCACCCTGTCCTGAGTGGGCTGACTGACTGGCCCGACTGACTGGCCCGACTGACTAACCGGGTGTACTGGACCTAGCGGGCCTACGGCATAGACCTCGTGATCCTACCTACTGGATTGGTACTATGGTACACGGGACTTCAGAACTTCAGGAGTGGGACTGGGCCGGAGGAGTGAAGATATGTCGCATGAAATCCCCTTTCGTTCAGTGCACTCTTTTTTCTTGCTTTTAGTGACAGCAGAGAGGGAGCCTTCCCAGCCTCCAATAGTTGAACGCAGAAACTGCACTCTGCTCCATTAATGGGTTGAAGCCTTGAAGGGGATGTGCTATCGTCTTCACCCGAATAGAACGCCCGGTCATCACAGCTGCATTTGGTGCAACTTTTCAGTCCAGATACGGCAATAATTACCGGGCGCGCGGACGGTAAGCACTGATCCGTCTGAAGTGACTGCTTGTGGACTAGGAAAAAGAATCAGGTACTCCATTTTACAGTGGCAAAAACATGGGTTTAGAACTTCAGAATCTTCAGATTCCATAAGGGATATATATAAAATTATAAATATATAATATATATAGGGTTCAGCCTAAACGAAACAGTTTGTCACAGCCCCTCGTCCTTTTCTCCCTCTCTGCCTACGGTTTACCGGACAGCTCTGTTTCACGATATATATATATATCTATTTGACGATATATATATATATATTGACGATATATATTGTGACGATATATATATAGTCTACTTTGATTTTGGTTAAGGTAGATTATCATTTACAGTGTAATCAGTGAGGGGATTCTGCAGACTGTTGAGGGTTCAGCCTCCTGA